AACCTGCCCACTATTCACACAAACCAGATGACAGAACACGACTGATCGATAGATGTCCTGCTATTTTCATGACGTAAAATTACGTTGGCACATCATTTCTTTATATATTGCTATCTAATGACGTCAATACATATATATATATATATATATATATATATATATATATATATATATATATATATATATATATATATATATATATATATATATATATATATATATCATATTATCTAACATTGGCAAGATCAAAGAATGACGTATTAAAACTTCATGTCCATACTGAAAACTACAGGAGTATTTAAAAAATAAGCTGACGGATTTGTGAAGATGAATAATTATGTAGATATTGACGCACGTGTAAACATCTGAATTCGTTGACCATATGTTGCTTTTTGAGGTTAACCAATCGCGCTTTCATGAAGCAAAAAGGCTTGTTTTGTTTTATCACTGGGCTATTCATTGATTTCATGTGTGAAGTCATCGTCTGTTCACCCAGATGGCAACACAGATACGGCTATCATTGATATCTGTAGCTGTTATTTTCGTTTGTAATCTGAAAATAATGCTTGAATCACAATTAAAAAATAAATTACGTTTCCATAATTTGAGAGAATATGGGACAGATTTTCGAATTCAGACAACGAAAATTAAAGGAGATCAATGCAAAAAGATAAGGTTGCACCAATCCCCCACGTTGAGAGGATCTGCCTGCCTTGATAATCAGCATTCAAATTGCTGGCTTTTATCGAGCAGTGACCTCTGCCTTTGGCAGCTGCATCACCAAGTAAAGAAAATATATCCGCTAATCCACAGCCTAGAGGACTCATGGTTTACAAAGTAGTTTCTACAGCCGCTCAAATACTGTTGCCGTATATGGTCTGGTCCCCCCACTGTTCATCATGAGGTTCTCGACAAAATCCAAAGACGGATATGTGATCGTTCCTGATTTGGGGTCTCGACTCCAGTCCCTTTCTCACCGATGTAATGTGGCTTCTCTCTGTCTTTTCTATAAATATTTCCATGGCATCTGCTCTGACGAGCTGTTTTCACTGGTTCCTCGACTTCATGAATTTAAGTGTGCTACTAGGTTGGCATCTCGGTCCCACCCTTTTAATATAGAAACAGTTAAGTATAACCGCCTCTTCTGCTCCAACAGATTCTTCTCTCGCACTTCCTGACAGTGGAATTCCCTTCCTCTTACTTGCTTCCCTGATATCTATAAATCTTCAAAAATTTAAATGTAATGTCAATCGACATCTTCTGTTGCCTTGTTTCCCGTTCTTCTTTTTATCATTCTCCGTTCTTCTTATCCTTTCCTCAACCGCCCCCTCTGTCCAGTCTTTTCCTTTACTTACACTCTCTGCAGCCCCTTGCGTACTAGTGTCACTCTCGCCTTGCTTTGGGTGAAGCGCGTCATCAGTCTGTTTTCTAGTCATAATACCAACTCTGTGTAATATTTACGGTAGATCGATCAGGCACAGTGCTACGAATACAGACATACGTAAAGATCGAACCCGCTACACTGGCTTTCATTAATTTAATTGAGCTGACCAAATCAGTTAATTCGAGAATAAACACGAGTAGGACACTTAGTAAGGATCATACTCGCTACAGGTATACAAAAATAACTTATTCCCAACAGTTGTACAGCGAGAGGATCACCATTAATATTTGCTAAGCTAAGCTTAGCCTGACACGACAATATAGCAATTAGGAAGCCAAAGAAGAATCTACAATGTTATTGGTCCTGACCTGGCATCTTGGCTTAAGTCCCTTTCCAACCGCCATAACGTAGTTTCCATGTGTCTTTTCTATAAATATTTTCATGTTTATTATTCTGATGAATTTTCCGCTATGATACCTAAATTTTATGAATTTAAGCGCAGTACTAAATTGGCGGCAAGGTCTCATTAACTTGCTGTTGAAATGGCTAAATGTAACCGTAAGTTCTATGCTAACAGTTTCTTCTATCGCACCTCCCACTTTTGGAACACTCTTCCGGCTTCTTACTTTCCAGTCAACTTTGGTCTTCAAAAATGTAACAATGTCAATCGTTATCTTCTGTCTTCTTAATTCTTATTCATTTATTATCCTCTCACCTTAATAGTAGTTTTTCTCATTTTCTCTAACACTCAGTAACCTCTTGCGTCTGAGTGGCTTTATTGCCTTGCTTGGGGTGAAATGGTTAAAAAGGCACCCAGTGCTGCACGACAAGACTTTCGATACAAACCTGCCAGAAGCAAAATATAATTTCGAGTTTTGAGAAAAGAACCTCTCCAATTCAGACTTTGATGATCTAATAATTAAGCTGAACTCATAAGTTTATAAAATGTGTTTATTTAGAATAACCTTTGCAGTGTTATGAAAATTGTCTTTAAGGCAAATTTCTGATGTTGATTTGGCTTTTGAATTTAACTATTTCTTATTAACGATATTATGCAATTATATTTCCAGGAAAGGTCATCAGGATAAACTGCCTCTTGTTTAAGTTGAATCGAAATATTATAGCTACTTTCTCATTGTTATTATTATTACCACCACTACTACTACTACAGCCTGTCAGAAGTTATTAAGCAAATACACTTCAGTAATTCAATCTGGATTTAAAAAATTGTCAAATATTAAACAATCAATTTAAATGTCAAAAAAAAAAGCCTGAGTTAAAATTTTAGGTAGTATCAATGTTTTATTGAAGTTATTTGATATATTCTAAAAAAAACTGCCGTTGAAAGTTATTAGGCAAAACCAAATAATTACATTTTCCTTCATTAAAAAAAAATTGATCAACATCTATAATAGAACAAATAACAAACACATGATAAGTCTTTGAATCCTTTACATTTTAATATACAGACCATTCTTCTCAATAAGAAGTAATCTATTATCCATTGATTTTGCTAAATTTTTTTTTTACTTCAGCAGGTTTAATTTCTGACATGGTAGTTTTAATTGCTTCCCATAAGCCCACTTTGTTGTTATATTGTTTGCGACCTTCATATAATTTCATCGTCACAATTGACCATATATTTTCAATTGGATTCAGATTAGGACTTGATGGTGGCCATTACATTATGTTCTCTCCTGCAAATCTTTTATGCACAAATAATTCACAGGTAAGCTTAGATAACTAAGAAGGAGCGTTGTCGTTCATAAATACACACTTCACTTTGAAACTACGAGACTTGGACTTGTACCATGTAAAAAGTTTTGTTCATAAAATCGCAATACTTAGCATTGTTCAGTTTAACGCCTTCATTGACTTTGAATGGTTCAATAATTGTTTGGCCGACAATTGCAGCCCATATCTTAACACTACCGCCTTGTTACCTTCTTTTAACCACAGGAAGGTCGGAATCGGATAAAAATCCATCCTTTAGCCCATTCATCAGGCCCATCAAATGTCACTCGAAATTCGTACATGAAAATTACTTTAGAGAAGTCAATTTCCATTTATTTCTTCACCAAATTTTGCCGCTTTAAAATATTTGTTTTAGTGAGAGTATGTTGCCTAGTAGATTTTATTACTGATCCCAATTCACAAAGTATTCTACACCTTTTGTCCTTCTTGACTCCCTCAATTCCAGCCTTTTCAAAGATCTGAGCGCTGATCATAAGTGGTTATTTCGCTATAACTCGCCTTAGTTTATGTTCATCTCAAGGAAGCAAGTTCCTAAAGCCTTTTCCTTTGCTTCGAATTCTCAACTTATATTTTCAACAACCTTCTTTATCATTCGATGATCTCTGTAAAGCTCCTTTGATATCTCCAATGTTGACATTTCCTCACTCAATAACTTTTTTTATTTTTTTTTGTTTTTCAGCAGTTGTTAGCTCCTTTACCTAAAATTTGTTTTTATTAGATTTCGGAAGTCTTAAGCTAATATTAGTTTAATCTACATACTTCACTCAGTCCATTTCTGCAAGTTCCAAAAATCTCAACAACTAACCATTAAAAATATTTTAAGGCTGGAATGAAGGAGTTAAAATATTGGCTCAGAACTTTTTGAGTTATTAAGGTTTATTTGATTTGCATAAAACTTCAGACAGGCTGTAGACAAATCCCCGTCTTACGAACATTTCTCTGAATAATAATTAAAAATAATTCAGTAGACGATGTTATTTTATTTATGGTAATTGTATATTTGGCGATTGCCTTACTCGGTTTCCGCCGTGCGATACTGTGAGTCTGAAAAATAGTGCTTTTATTGCGGTCGCCATAGCTTCTGGATCTTTTGGCTGGGCTCAAAGAGTAGCATCTGCCTCCGGGCGGATAAATTACATTTAATCTCTCAGTTGCGTCTCTGTCTGCAGACACAGAGCAACGGAAAATATTATTGGGAGTTGCACAGTCCTAGAAAACAGGTGTTTGCGGCACTACCTCCCTCATTGCACTAAAGAGGTGGCGTAGGTACTAATACCGATGCGAGCGCAATCGACGGTTGCGGAGGCTCGGCTATTTTGGAATCTGGCCCATTTTGGAACCTGGCCCGAGGGCAATATATCGGGCTCCCCACATTAAATTGACCATGTACCACATTCTGCCAGTGTGGGGCGGCAAGAAAATACAACCGCTTCTCGACTTTTTGGCTAAGATCAAAGTGTAGTATCCGTTCTTATCAGTTTAATCTGATTCTCTCTTCTTTTCTTTCTTTCATTTTCTTACTGAAACCAAGTTGTCTTTTTTTCCCCTACGGAATCAAAACGAAATAGTCCATTATTTATGAGGTATTGACAGGATATTATTAAATACTTCTATTTTCACTTATTTTTTTCTTTCTCGTCAAATCCCCGTCTTACGAACATTTCTCTGAATAATAATTAAAAATAATTCAGTAGACGATGTTATTTTATTTATGGTAACTGGATATTTGGCGATTGCCTTACTCATTTTTCGCCGTGCGATACTGTGAGTCTGAAAAATAGTGCTTTTATTGCGGTCGCCATGGATTCTCGGCTTTTGTCTAAGATCAAAGTGTAGCATTTGTTCTTATCAGCTTAATCTGATGCTCTCTCTCTCTTTCTCTTTCTCTTTCTCTCTCTCTCTCTCTCTCTCTCTCTCTCTCTCTCTCTCTCTCTCTCCACTTCTACATTCCCTTCTTTCTTTCATTTTCTCGCTGAAAGGAAGTCGTGTCTTTTCTCTTCTCTCCACGTGATCAAAACGGAATAGTCTATTATTTACGATATATTGGGAGGGTGTAACGGTCGTGAAAACTAAATGGTAAATGGATCCTAGTCACTGCAACAAAGTTAATGTCATATGTTTTCCTTTCGTTGCTTTATAGCAGCGCCAAACATAGGAAGTGAAGCTGGAGGGGACAGGCAAGCGCAATTGCAGATTTTTACCCCCTATTCATATGGTAAATGCGTCTAACTGTTCGAAATACGTTTTAAAATGCAAAGGTATGGACAAAAACAAATGGGTATATAAATTCTTGGGACTTGTCCCAAACAATGTTGAAAAATCTGGAAACATTTTAATGGCCTTCTAAAGTTATAGCACACTCTTTTAATTACGCTCATAATCTTACTGCAACCTTGAGAGTAGATAGCGTTACTAACGAGGCGTCAGCTTAAGCATTGGGAATCGCTGCACTAACTGAATGAAATATGGATATTGGCTGCTTGACATTGTGAGAACAAAATTAACACATAGGTTTCAGACGGTAGAGATGATGTGTTACTCTCGTTTTAGACAACATTAGGAAGGCTGAAGAGTTGAATACAACAATGATGAGGATACTACTCTGAAGATTTCATGGAATAATTACGCCATTTCAAAACTTCTCGCAAAACAAATATGTTCGAAATCACATGGAACTATGATAAACATTGGGTTCATCATTCGAATCCTTCATGGAAAAACAATAATATTTCATCATTGACTTTCATACAACAATATGAGTGCGTGGCGAAGACCTCTAAGGTCCTCACACTTCCCAGCATCTGACCAGATGACCAAATATCAGTTTTATTTGAAATCTCTTCCTTATCGAATCGAGGACTTTTTAACATACACTAGGTATTTACTCTGACTCCCCACTAAGACGAGTTGTGACACAAGGTCTTTTCTAAGTACACCCGGGCAAGGAACAAAAATTGACCGCAGTTGCGCTGGCCTCGGTGCGAGCACCGATCCCTCTCTCTGGTGCAATGAGAGGGCGCGACCTCGGTTTACCAGGCATGAGCACTTCTCAGTATAATTTTTCTCAGTTGACGGAGTCGCCCCTGAGTTCACCCCTGCCCAAAGACAGAGACGCAACTGAGAGATGATAAGTAATATGTTACAAACCACTCGAGAGAGTCACGGTGGAGTAATGGATAGCAGATAGAGAGCCGAGTTCGAATTCCAGTCGAATCCATTACATTCACTTACGAGCTAATATCCTTAGGAAAGGTATGAATCATCTTCTCTCCCCACCTCCGCCCCCATGGGTAAATAGCAGGACAGGCCGGTTTCTATAGCTTTGGATTGCAACTGGTCTACTGCGGGGAAAAAATCTGCCTCGTTAGTCATGTATCAAAAGATACATGATCGCCTACGCGTGTATCACGCATAGCACATAACTGACTGAGTGAGTTGCATAATAATAACATTGGACTTTAAAAAATCTTGTTTAAAATCGCCACAAATTAAGAATAATCCGTCTCTCGGCGATTCGTGTTAGTTATTTATTACTGAGATTAATCTTTCGCAAATGCTTCATAGAAGGACCTCAGAAACAAGATGGCTAATCTTGTTGTGAAATCTTGCCACACAAAGAATTATTAACTAATTAAGTGTTTTTTTTTGTGTGTGTTTTTTTTAAATTATAAAGTGGTGACTTTTAATTTGACTCCTTCGTTGTAAACTATTAAATTCGAACTGAATCAAAGGAAAATGTCACTTCATGAAGTTGTTCCCACGAGTCTTTCCCAGTTTAGAGATCCAAGTTTGTGAGATTAGCAAAAGCGATTTATTACATGAAATTGGCACAAAAGTTTTTGGTGGGATTAATTGAATCAGAGTGCGAAGGGATTAAGTATGATAAGGTTCTTGGATCACAAGCGTCAATTTAGGGGCAACGACAAGTGTGACTGCGCACAAAGACACACACACACACATATACATACACAGAGTGAGATGCATAAATTGTCACCCTTTTACATTTTTAATTTCTCGCATGCGCGTTGGTTATTTCTTTTATTTTGTCGACTGCATAGTATAGTAGGGTCAGTTGGGCACCGTCTGTGAAAAAAAAGAGCACAATGACGCAATTCACTGTGCCAGAAATTTGGAAACGACTTGCTGTACGACTTTTCATTCGCGTTGAAAGCTCCAATACGAATATTTCAAAGTGTTTAGGTGTCAATCTGAGGATAGTGTAGAAGATTCAGAAAAAGTTGGATGAGTGTAATGCTGACTACGAAGGTACGGCAGCTCGGAAATCTCACTCTGATAGTTCTCATAAGAAAAGAACTTTCGAATTTGTTGGTGAGGGACTCAAACTCAACACGGGGGCATACATCAAGTGCCTTGAGGAGGTAGTGCTGCCATGGATCAAAAGCGTCACTGTTGGAAGACCATATATCTCGCAACAAGACTCTGTACCATGTCACACAAGCAGAAGAACCCAGGCATGGCTTTCAGATAATTTCTGCGACCACACCACCTCTTACATCTGACCACCAAACTCCTCAGATTGCAGCCCCCTTAATTATTATGTGTGGGCGCAGTTGAGCGAGAGATGACTAAAACTATTTGTAACACCAAAGATGAACTAAAGGCAAGGATTATGGCTGCATTCACCAAACAAGGAAACTGTCCAGATTTGTAGGAGATTCCGAAGTCGTCTGGAGGACGTGTTTGAAGCCAATGTCGAATTTATTGAATAAATTTACTCTTTAGTATTTCAAGATAGTTTGTGACATTTTGGTAAATATATCTGTTAAAATGAGATGTCAGTGTTGTTTTCAATTTTTGAGTTATTTAGGCGAGAATTTATCCATCGTACCTTGTATATGAGAGAAAACGATATATTAATTTGTACACACACACACACACACATACACACACACACACATATATATATATATATATATATATATATATGTATATATATATATATATATTTGGAGTTCAATCCCTCTTTTATACAAGTCTCATTAAAGACGACTGACAAGGCACAGAGATTAAGCTTCTTTTTTTCTTCTTGTGTTCGTACAAGTGTTTTCTTTTCCAGGAACAAAGTGTGTAAAAACTGTCGAGAGGTTCTGTATATCCGAGTGCTTTCGGCTATTCTTTTAACCATTATCAAGAACTATCTTTATTTTTAACTCGATGTGTGGGGTTTTTTATATGTATGTATCTAAATTTATAGGAATGTTTTATGGCCGTATTCATAGTTAATGTTAGTCAGTGTTGACGTTTCCTTTTTTTAATATTCGGGCTTCCATTATTTTTAATCTTTTTAAATGTGTATACTAATATGTTGCGGATGGAGTTTGGTAGATTTCTGTGTGTCTTTAAATGAATCCTAATTGAGCTATTTTCGGGTAGGTGTAACGTGGGCCGTCTAGATAGTTATGTAGTGGTATGACCAATATAATTATTTATGAGTTTGGTTTGATAAGGAACACAGTTTCTTAAGAGTTATTTGAACTCGTAAATAATATTGGTTCACTGTTATTTAGATTTTGTAGACGTGTTGTTATTGTTGATGATAAGGTTAGCTGTTTTAATTTTTTTGTAGTTGATAATTTAATTTTCTTGTTCTGGTTGACTGGTGTATTTCTTTCTGATATTTCTAACGGACAATTCGTCTTGCATTTAACATTAATTAACATGAATTTGGCTTTTATAGATGTTAATGTTATTGTTTTTACTTGTATGTTGACTATGCTATTAGTTACCTTAGAAAAAATTAGTCTAATCTCGTGGTTGATGAGGTAGTTACGAAAACCATTGTTAACTAGCGTCTGTTTTACATTATTGAGTTCTTTAAGAAAAAGGAGACGAGAGGATGAACTCTCGTATGCTCTTGTAGAAATTTTTATAACTATTATTTTATATCTAAGTCGGCATTCACTCTTAAAATTAAGGTGGCAAGAGTTTCTGCTAGTGTTCTTTTTTTTTTTTTTTTTGTATAACGAAGTGGTGAATGTGTTATTACTGAATTCTACGAGAATGTCTAAGAATGCTTTTTTTTTTCTTTTTTTTACTAAGGTTATAGATATAGATAAGGACACAGTTTTTTGAACGTGGATTTGAGTTTATCGAATTCTTTTTTGTTTTTAGCTAAAATAAAAGTATCGTTTACTTAGCGGACATATATTTTGGGTTTAGTAACTTTTTAAAAATATTGTGCTTTCTACGTGGGGCATATAGTAGATGAAGAAGCACGGGCCGAAGGGATTTCCCATGCTAACACCATTACTTTGAGTTTAAACTTTGACATTATGGTCGTAGAAGTGAACTTTAATTGTGCAGGCATGCAATAATTTTTTAATAATATTAGGTTTGATGGATGGAGGTGGAATGGAATTATATTTATGAAACTGAATTAAGGATTATATCGATTCTTTTTGGATATTTTTTATACACATTCTGTTCAGAAAAGAAAACACTTGTACAAACACAAGAAAGATAAATAAAAAAACAATCGCAGTACCTTTTGTCAGTCGTCTTTAACGAAACTTATATATATATATATATATATATATATATATATATATATATATATATATATATATATAAAGTTTCGTTAAAGACGACTGACAAGGTACACCAATACACGCAATACACCAATACACGCAATCGACATAAACCCAAATTTTTAAAAAAATTAATCAGTTTGTCTGACGATCGCTAAAGCGTGAAACCCAGGGTCACAAACTCACATCTATCCAACAAAATATATATATATATATATATATATATATATATATATAAATTTAGTGCAATTTGTGTCCATATCGCAAATATCCAAATTAACTTAAGAGAAATTTTAGATAGCACCAAAACATTATGTATGATAGGATAGATAATATTATGTAGGACAAAATGATTTCCTCTTCGGACACCTTGTTTCATAGAGAATAAAAAACATTAAAAAAACAATTATGAACAATAATTTCTCGAATCACGTTCTTGAAAACTAAATAATATTAGATTCAATGTAATTTTGAAAAAATATTATAAGCAACCACCTTCATTTATATATATATATATATATATATATATATATATATATATATATATATATATATATATATATATATATATATATTATAGGATATTACAATTCGAATATATGTAGTACCGCTATACAAATGTATTCAAGTTTCAATATATATCATGGCATCTCATCAGTCGATGGTAAATAAGGGATATATATATATATATATATATATATATATATATATATATTTTTTAGTTATATCTGAATTTTTAGACTCATATATATTTATGTATGTATCTGCGTTTTTAGGATGCATGATAGTTTCGAAACAGAATCAAAGATGATGAGATAAAATGGAAAATTTATTAACGCCGAGAGCATCTTCCCTCTTTGGCTTCCTCAGGTTAGAATAAAAGAAAATCAAAACTGTATGTGAGTAAAAATACCTTGGCGTCTCTGAGGCTTGACGATTGCGTTTAAGCATGAAACAGACTGTCGTCGACGGGTGTTGATCTCGATGTTCATATATATATGATAAAATATAGTTTATGGTAAGATATCTTTATGTGTTAAAGTGATCAGTATCATTGATAGAGTGTGCGCTAAAAGTGGCCACTGAAGTCAACACTCAAAAGCGACAGCTTGAACGCAATCCTCCAGTCATCCAAAGACAATTGAGTTTAAGCATGAAACAGACTGTCGCCACTGGGTGTTGATTTCAATGTCCCCTATATATATATATATATATATATATATATATATATATATATATATATATATAATGTCTGTGGGTGAGTCTCTCTCTCTCTATCTATCTATCTATCTATCTATCTATCTATCTATCTATCTATCTATCTATCTTCATGTCTATCTATTTTATTTCTTATATACTGTACAAGATGGTCTGAATGTCTTGTCACTCCTTACCAAAAAATAATGAGAACAATAGATGAACAAGTAATACAGTAATACAAAGCATATGTACTGAATTCAGTTTATTCACTTTCATTGAGACTGTCACACATCGAGAAGATCTGTATGAACGCCATCATTTCCGTGGCACAAAATGATACGGTGCCTTGTCCTTTATCATATTTTACGTAGCTGTGCTTTGTTGATTGGTACAAAGGCTCTCAAAATGGCGTCCTTCAACTGATGGGTATTCTGGTATCGTTCATGTGAATCTCTCTTCTTGATAAAATCTCACAGAGCGTTGAAATAGAAAATTATACTATGTCGGGGTGACAATACTTACGGACCAACGTGTAGAAATCACATGGTCAGTTTATTTCATGATAATCTTCCCGTTTCTTTCTTTATTTTCTTTTTTTCTTTCTATCTTAAAAATCCCTAATTATACCATAAGCAAAATGTTCAGGCCACATCAGTGCAAATTCCCTATGGCTAATCTTAATAACAACAATATTTTTGCTTAAATTGGCGGTCATTCGCCACTCTTTATAATGTTCACCCCGATTATTTGCTTGAAGAGTGACGGTCCTTTCTTTACCAAACAGCAACTGAGGTCAGTATTTAAATGACATCAATCTTGAAACTTCTATGAGAAAAAAAATCCAGAATCTGTTTCTTCTTTTCATTTTTGTATTTTTGTAAAAACTGACTGAAAGTTTTGTAAACTTTTGGTAGATGTTGAGCTCCACTGAATTTACAAGTACTTGATCAATATTCTTTAGTCTTAAGTAGATGACATATTAATCATTCTTATTAAATATCATAATACAAATCTCCTTCCCATAGAAATGCTGCAATTCATAAACACGCAAATCCTCCTACACGTCCTTAATTTTGCCACTTCAGCCTTCGTTTCGCTTTATTACACGCCGCATTGTTTAATACCTTGTAGTGCCGTAGTAGTATTAGTAAGCTAAGTTGTTGGAATGACTTTCATTTTTGCACATATATTTTTGATTAGATATAATTTCAATGACTCTTTGAACACGCTTTTCATATTTGAAAACATTATTATGAGACTAATTATTTTATTGATTTTTATTATAATTTTTTGATCGATCTATTCATAGACCTTCAAATTCGAAACAAATAAATACCGTTGAATGAGATTTGTACCACAGGAGCTTACTATACCATGTAGCAATGTCTATAGTATATTAGCTGCAGAAGTCAAGACTGTCTAAGAGAGAATTTATTTTAATTTTAATTCACTAATTATAGCGCCAGTGCCTTTTCAATTAAATTACTACATATAGCAATGTTCACTAGCTTGTACTATTATTATTAATATTATTATTATCTACTATCTATATTTCTCATGTTGTCTGTCTGTGTGTCTGTCGTGGGCATTGTTACTTCGCCCAGGCCGCATTCCTCACACGATTTCGATGCGGTTTTCAACACAAGTTTGCAAATGGCTGCCTTAAGGACATGACGGAGCCCGATTTTTCAGTTCGGACTCAGGTTCCGAAAAAATCGATAATCGAAAAAATCTGCTTACAGAAGGAATTATTGCATTTCAACCAAATTTGACACCCTCTTAGAGTCTACCTTTAGAAGTGTTGTCCAGAAGTTTCATGACCACGGACCCCTAAACAGCGCGGAAAATCGATAAAACCCAAAAGCCGATACGCCCAGATTGCACCTGAACCGCATGTCGGTTTTTAGCGAAAACCGATCGGATTTATGAGGAGGCCATTGGGAGTCATCATGTGAAGTTTCAACTCTGAGCGCCCCCACCCAAAACCGAGTGCAAATGAACAATCGGTCAACCCTTAAAAATGTTTTTCCGATTGGGTATTTCCTAAATGCAGATTAATTTAAGGTCACACTATGCGCGGGAAGAAACTGGTTAGTGCGTGCAGTGCTGTATGAGTCGTACGATTTTTGAATCAAGCACGGGCAACGCCGGGCCATGCTTCTAGTTAATAATAATAATAATAATAATAATAATAATAATAATAGTAGCAGCAGTAGTTATTATAGTGTAAGTTTGATGTTTTTAGATGGTGATTTTCGAGGCGTAGCTTAGATGTGGCACAAGGTCGAAAAAATGTGGAACTCTGTGAGGATCGAACTCACTACCCAATCATAATTGTGCTGGCGAAACAAACTTGCTAACCATTACACCACGTCGAGGATCCCAAAAAGATTTTCTAAGGGTAGCTTTGATGTGGCACACGGCCGAAATTATGGAGCACCCTGTAAGGATCAAACTCACTACTCAGTCGTAATTGATCGAGCGAGACAGGCTTGGTAACCATTACTCCACGTTGAAGTATTCGTCTGATGTTTTCAGATGATTGTATTCCATAGAAAAAGCAATTGACCGTGTTCTATGATTTCTGTTTTGATTCTTCTTGTCGAAATTTTTTTCAGAGAAAAATGGATTCACCCGAACAATAAGTCGGCGAAAATTTAAGCCTGACGCTACACAGTCTATCACTCAGTATACTTTTATGGCAGCAGATTCCTTTGGCTACAATTAATCCACTGGATTATACTGCCTGACCTATGGATTAACATTTCCATTCGGCTTGAACCTTTTCAGATATTTGTGAGAGCTGGCGCCTCCTATGTTAAAATTACATTGGTAATTGGAGCAGTGTTAAAACTACAGAATTAATGACACATGTTTACGTTTTGTTGCATTATAGTATCGGGAGGGGACATTTTATCGCTGCCGACTCAACACCACCGACTCATCTCCGTAACAACTCATCACCGGCCTGCAAAGTATTTCTTCTTTTCCACAACGATCTCCAGCTGAATATTTGAGGGGAATTGCATAAATCTTTAAATTAAAAATTAGGTCCTGTATTTAAAAATAAATGATCATTTAATAAATTACTTTTATTCGGTTTTTAAGGTTATGTTTTTAAAATGATCCTTAATAAATTCCTTTTTTTATTTTTAAGAAATCGACGAAAATTTCATAGCTTGCATGTCGTTGATTCTGTGGCGTTGTGTTGGCGGTGATGAATCGTCCTGCACCCTTGTAGTTTCACTAATCGACGGAAGTTAAGCTGTAGCAGAAGTACCAAGCGCGCATGACCATTGGAAACTGCCATGCTTTCGCTTGAAGGTTTTTGGTCTATAAACATGTGATAATTGCATCTAAATATTTAAAATACATAAAAGAATTAAATATATAAATAAAAAAATAAGTAACTGTGTGTATAAATATTTCAAAGAGTTAAGTCATGTTACTACACTGTTAAAATTATAGCATTTTCTATTTAACTCCCTTACACCATTTGTCCTTGTAAGAGTGCATAAAACATGTAAAGAGGTATTACCGCCTACATTGAGAATCACTGCACTCGGCCATTCTGACTGTACTGAATAAACAGAATCGACAACACAATGCCAAATTAATATAAAGACAAGATTGAACAGGCAACTCGCAACATAGACACTGGATTGAATAAAGGGTTTCAGTTCGAAATACCGAGAACTTTACCAATGGCTGACATCTGAAGAAGGCTAGCTGTGTTGTGATTATAACAATTAATACGAGGGCGGCAGTTCGAATAAATCAATGTTTTATAATTAAAAAAATAAAATTATTTAAGAGAAAACTTCATTACACAAAGAAACAAGTATGAAGCCGCCATTAAGGATCGAACTCGTTGTTGTAGCAATGATTTGTGTGATTTAACTCATTAATAACTGCTCCACAGCGAATTTAACGGATGCTTTCTAACTTTAACATAATCTGACACAGGGCAAAAGCGTGACACACTCTGTGAGGACCGAACTCACTACAGTAGCAATTTGTCTGTGAGAGTAATTTGTTAAACACTACTCGACGTCGAGGAAGCTTTTTATTTAGGTTTTATTTCTACAGAATGACACGTTCTGGGGTTCAAAGGGCTTTCATTTGCGTTGCAAAGGTTTCTCTTAGCGTTCTTCCGAAAAGTTTCACGTGACCTGATTGAGCGGTAAAATAACTATTTGTGCGATTGTGCCTTGTTTTGTTGGCGTTTCGCTCAAAAGAAGAAATGACTATTTGTCTTGATCACGTACGAAAAGGTCGGGGGTCATTAGGGGAATATTTAAGTGGGAACACGTGACCAGTGACTTTTTTTTTCTTTCCCATTCATTCATAGATCTCTTCTGTCTTTTTATCCCGCTTTCCTCAAGTTTTTTTTTTTTTTTAGTTTGGCTTCTTTTTGGCTTTTCTGTTGTTTATTAATTTTCTTGTGTGTCTGTGCGTGTGCATGAGCGCATGCGCGCGCACGCGTGTGTGTGTGTGTGTGTCTCGACACACGGCAAATATTAACGGGTTTGTATCAAATGTTCCAACACATTTAAAACCAACATTTCGAATACCAATTTTCAAAGCATGCAGGCCTTTTCACTTGTTTTTTAAACTAAAATTCACCCTATACAAGGCTCAAGAACCACTCAAACTAGAGGGCTACTAGTAAGGATTAAAGAGCTGTGTGACATGAATGAAAGAAGAGGAAATACAAAATAAAGATTATGAGGATAAGGAGGCTAGATAACGATTGACCCTTGATTTGAAAAGGTTCAGATTACAGTGTTTCGAAAAGCATCCACGTGGAGCAAAAACTGTATGAGTGGAACTTTCTTCTTAACATTAAAACACGGGGGAAATGGAGGAGTTTCGACTTTGTGGAAGCAGCATGGCTTCTTCTAGTTGTAAATGTATAAACTGTTTGAACTGGGAGTTCGGTGTTACAGAATATTCTCCATTTCTTATAATTTGGCTTTTTATTAATCAGTATTTGGGGAGATTATGTTGCGTCAATCTTACAAGTGCCTGCTTTTAAAAAATCACCATTCCTGCTTATACCAGGATTCGAACGCTGATAATGGACACTGACGAGAAAATCGCAACTGTCCCAGCCACAAAATAGACCTAGAAATGCACTTTTATGCGTATTAGTTAAT